TGAGACATTTCCGCTGCTTGGGGGGGGGATTATAGACGACAAATTCTTCTGGCTTCCTCACACCTAGGACTTCATAGAAAGGCTACACAAACTGTCAAACATAATGCAGATAAAACAGCTCCTAGCTGGGGCATCAACTCGCAGATGCTCATGTCATGGTATGCCACCTTAGCTAAGCTCATAGCACTTCATGGCGTCTCCATGTGGGGCGTCATTGCCACGAAAAACATTCAACAAGTATTGAAGTGTTAAGAGCGATCAGGCTGAAACAAAGCGTAACTATTTGGGATAAGACATATATATCCACAGACTACGAGAATCACATTGCCTACTCTCCTTGCCACCCAGCTGACTTCGATACAGAAGCAAGCTGTAACCTTCCCCTTGCATTACAAACAACAGCCGTCTATACTAATGGCTCGAAAGGAGAGCTTGGGATCGGCAATGCCCACTCTGCAATAGAAGTTGACCTCAGAGTCCATTCCAGGGCTAAGAAGCTTCCTCCCAAAAATTCAATTTTTCAAGCAGAACTTATAGCTTTAAAAGCGGTTCTGGACTTTGCTCTTAGCAATGGAATATACAAAAGATATATACAAATACAATATCACGCTTGCAGGCCATCCATGGCAGAGGCAGTAGATATTCAATGGTATTCCATAGTGAAAGTTAAGCAGAAAAAAATAATTTCGATTCGTGCAAGTCTCAGGCTCAAGCTTCAGTGCGTTCTAGCCAATACTGGGATTGCAGGAAACGAAGCAGGAGATGTGATTGCGCAACTAACGAGCCCAATGTGAGTAGCATTAATGTGGCCCTTCTAAACTCATATCTGAAAACTACTCTCAAATGTGAATTAATGAAACAATGGTAAAAATAGTGGGAGTCGAACACTACAGGCAGAAGATTGTATAACTTTTATCCAAAAGTAAACCAGAATTTAAATAGCGGCTCATTGCAAATTATACAGTACCTGACAGGGAAGAGCCTATATATGTCCTATCTTCACAGATTTGGCCTAAGACACAGCGACTAATGTATTTGTGGCAGTACTAGTGACACAGACCACTATCTTTATAATTGCCGTAAACAGAGAATTCGCATTTAAAAAGATCCGCTGCAATTAATATGCCATCATAGGCGAGGAACACAAATAAGGATAAATGTGCGCTCATCCGTATTTGAGATTGTACTAACATTGCTAAGGGTACTGCTGATAGCATAAAGTGACTTCTCTACTATTTTCTACCAGCAGCGTGCCGTCAGCAGCTCGGGTTCTGTATATATATATATATGTAATTATTTACTTAATGTCTCTTTTGTGTTTTCTTTTAATGTATAATATTTATCTGCTTTATTAATAATGTTTATTATTATGATTAGTCCAGCTAGTATTATTCAGAATATTTACTCGAGTCAAATTTCATTATCTGTGTCTAATTATTCAATTTTGTACTAAGGTTTACCTTACCTGGTTTTATTTGTGCTAAGATTTTGCACTGAGCACAATACATACATAAATTTGTATTATTTTTTGCTTTTCCAATAAGCACTGTACCATAAATATGTACAAATAGGTATTATCAATACTAATATATGTTCAGTAAATCAGTCTGCAGATATATTTTATTGTATTTATTTAATTTATTTAGTACCTAACATGATATTAACTGTTTTAATGCAACTCTCCGACTTCAGCACTCATTTAATGTACGTATTTGTAACTACTATTAGTGCATAATATGAATGTATGAGTCTTCAATTTGCCAGTATAGCTTGCCATTAGTGTTTGCATAATTATAAACGCAATATATTTTCATCCATAGTTTTATTAACGTGATATGTAACTTTATTTTGCTTCATATTTTATAAAATGTAAATAATTGTACAGATTTCATCTTTACATCTGTATCTGTATCTACACCCTGTCCATATTGTATTTATATGCCTAATATATAGCATAACAGTGAAAAGTAACTAAAATATGCATTGACTTAGCAGATGTCCGTAACATATTACAGATTTGCAAAGATCTTGGTAGTGCAGCGTTTACTGCAATTATTTTTAATTTTATTGTATAACTGTCAGTATGCATTACCTCTATGAGCACATTATACTCAATGTCAATACATCCTTGCAAGTAACAGAAGCTTTGCAGTGCTCAAGGTAAGCGGTCATCAGCATTTTTCAGCAGTGCCCCAACATGTACTTTTCCCTTAGGCCTCACCATTAACTTTCTTTCCATATTCTGGTCCTTCTTTCAGCGTTCCTCATTTTACGTGGTCATATCCTGGAGGATAGTGTACTAAGCTCTAGTTTTTTTTTTTTTTTTTTTAAATTCCAACGACAGCATCCACCAGGCTGAAGGGCATCTAACCTAGTGGGACAGCTGTTCTGTCGTTGGTGAAGAAAAAAAAGAGAAAGCCATTTATCTCAATGTTAAATAGACTAGCTCCATTTATCTTATTTTTTTGGTAGAGAATTGCATTCTTCAAACTTTTTATGTTGCATTATATAAAAGATACCATAATTTCACATATAATTCTACATATCCAAGCTCTATAACAGCACTGAATAATTAAAAACAAATACAGTTTTTTACTATTAATTCATTATTTTGCGTAATACCGAGATAAAATTAAATGACATTTACTTACTTGTATTGTTTTAAAATATAAATGTAATGTTAGTAATTTATGCCGAAAAAAGTTCTTTCTAAGGGGACAAGAGCAAGGCGATTTCCAAAACATCTAATCTATAAAAGTGGGCCCCATTTGAAAATGTTTGAGAAACGCTACTGTTACTGCAAGCGGTTAAATATGCTGAAGCATGTTGTAATGTTGCGCGCTTCCAACCTGCACGCAACAATAGTGGTGACTGCTAAGAACTGGAAAGTAGACAAAGTCTTGAGAAGGGTTTAAATCCCTTTTTATTCAACTTTAGAAATTACAAATGCGTGCTCTTGACGCTCACAAACTACGCCGACCCGGTGGTAAAATAAAAATAAGAAACTAAAAAGAGAATAATAACAAGTGACTAACTACGAGGCTCTCTACACGTAACTAACCTAATCGCGTTCTGAGATACCGCTGACAATTCAACAAACTTCTAAATATTACGTTGAAAGATTCAACAATCTGCCGAGGCAAGCACACAGGCCGAAACGCGTGGTTCTTCAATTTCTAACTAGCCACCTCCATGCTCGTGAAGCAAGAAAGCACACCTTCGAACTCGTTTCCCTTCTATTTAACTCAGATTACTTCCGCTGAAAATTTGAATCCTTGCGCGTTCTACTAAAATTTACATACTCTGGCATTGGCAATTCCAGGGTAAAGTAAGGCTTGACAAGAAAGATAGTTTAAACTTAAAATAAATGTTTACGTACCTCGTATTAGAATGGCGCCGACATGGATGACGCAGTTTCGGTTTTAAATATCCTTAATAAATTCAGTGGACTCTTGTTGTATTTAAATCAAACTGAAGACATTTAATGATATAATATTTACACGTAAACATTTAGTAATAATTCAGGAGTACAGATAAGCATAAAATAAGAATTACAACAGTTACAGTCCAGCTACGCTTTTAGCGACCGAATCCTACCTTTTGAAGCAACATAAATATTAACCATGGATCCCTACAAGTTACTTTGTCACCAAGAGCTTTTAAACATCTGATAACTTCATCGGAAGTATCAGCTAATTGCCGTAAATTAACATTATCAACCTGTGAAATGCATTTTTGATCCATAAATATTTTAATTAACGATTGTACGATTTGTTTCTTTTTATCGTACCTAGCGAGCAATTTTGCCCATGCTTCTTCATAAGAATTATTTGATAACGGAATATGTTTAATTATAGAAGCTGGTTCATCAGCAGGTGATCCGATTAAATACTGAAATTTCTGTATATTCGATAAAGAAGTATTATGCACTGTTTGTTGCAACAAACAAATCTTTAAAATTCATCCAGTCATTAAAGTTACCCGAAAAAATAGTAATATTCAACTTAGGTAACTTAAAGTTACTAATATTAGAATTTCCTGTAACATTTGGCAAATTAGCTACATTTAATACATCTAATAAATTTTGATACTGAAGTTTTAAACCAAAATACTTCGATTCAAAATCTTCAATTTCTGACTGTTCTTCTGGTAATTGGGCATCAAAATTTATCAAAATCTGAATAAATCCTTTCTAAGCGCTCCAGATGCAAAAAATTACTTCATTTTTAGATAAATCGGAAGAAATAGTATTCTGAAGCCTTGTGAAGGCCGCTTTTGCCATACCACGCAATCTAATGACAGTAGCTTGATCCATAATAAGTAATCGAAGTATTCGAGTTCAAAATCAAAATCAATACAAAATAGATATAAAACTTCAAGAATCAAATTTAGATACTCATCTGTACTTGAACTGCCGACGAATTCTTGATCTGATCTCGTCGGCGTGCCTCCAAATGATGTTTACGTACCTCGTATTAGAATGACGCCGACATGGATGACGCAGTTTCGACTTTAAACATACTTAATAAATTCAGTCACTCACGTCTATTTAAACCAAACTGAATACATGCACACGTAAACATTTAGTAATAATTCAGGAGTACAGATAAGCATAAAATAAGAATTACACAGTTACAGGCTAGCTACGCTTTTAGCGACCGAATCCTACGAACGACAAATCTCAAAAGCGTGTTGCCAACGCAGGGCAACGAAAAGGTAGAAATTAATTCGACAGGCGTGGAAGTGAACAATAAATGTTAGTTAAAATAAATATAAACCCTACAATGTATTGCGGGAATGTGATTATCCTCTTCATGTTGTCAAAATAACTGCAGAAAGACACGCATGACTCCTGCATTTAAAAAAAAAAACACTTAATGTTTTTTTTTAGATTGATGATTTAGTACTTACCAAACTAATTTGGTAAGTACTAAATCATCAATATCTGAGTTCTATAACAATTGCTTGGAAAAGCCTATATATAAAGTGATAATAAAATATTCTTGCAAGCAAAAGAAATTTTTATTAATCAAAAGAAAACAATTTGGAAAACAAGTTGAACGCTTATTGAGTATTATCAAGCTTTCATCCATTTACAAAGCTCAGCATATTTGCTTGTTAGCATTTTCATGTTTCAGAATTGGAGTATACTACAACCTTTTTCAAAACCTTTGAAATTAAATGATGTTATTTCCTTCGCTACCAGCATAGCTTTGCTTCCACATTTCTCCTCGACATTTTCACTATCACATTGTAAATATTCTCTAAGAGCCCTAAAAAGACAAGAAAATTTCCAAATATATCATCAGAAAATGACTTACCACACATTTTTTCATAATATTCAGTTTTAAATAATGGAAAGTTTCAATTTTACTTGCAATTAATTTGAACCCAATTAGATTTCTTTACATATTGCTCAAATTAACGAGAAAGAGGAATACAAAATTTAATCTTAATAAACAGCAAAACTTAGAACCTATATATGTAATTCAAAATCTCTCTTCTTCCAGCATGCCTTCGCAGTGTAACGGTAGCGCACTCGGCGCGTCTTCCAGCTGTCCAGGTTCGAGTCCCATAGGGGCATTGCTCATTTTTCATGTAGTTTTGCTTCGATGCATCTTAATGTCTCTATAAGGGTGTAGTGTACTTTGAGAAACAAGGCCTATCGTCTGAGTAACTTAAGAGGAAGTTAATAAAGTTGTTAATTTAGTTTTGAGGAATTTTAAAGTAGTCTTCATGGAATTTATACTATAATGAATAAAAGCAGCTATTTTACTTTTTTCTCAGTTCATCATAGATGTTTAGTTACCTTAATAAGATGACCTACATAAACTTTTGGCTTGTTTAACTTTATTTATTAACAGCAAACTCTGTACAAACTCATAATATTTACTACTTTTTTTCCTGCCATCTGCATCGACGCGCATCTCCCAATCTCTCTGTATCCTTCTCTATCTGCCATTGCTCTTCAGTTTTATTTGTGCTGCTTTCTATTCATTGTCTACACGATATAATTATCATAATTTTTAACTACATAACAATAACGGAATAATTGAAGAAGCTTTAAAATTTCTAAATCTGTTTTTTACTAAACGCAAATTTTAAATTTTGTTTTATTCAAAAACTTTTAATATTGAATATTCTTTTTCTTCGTCATCTGAATCTTACACGAAGGATTTAAAAAGCTTTTGGGGTTGGAATTCTGATTTGGGAATATTTAAGATTCTTTCCATCTGTAGTTTTAACTCACCGTCCATCATTTCAGATGATAGTATAATAACATGCACAGGTGTTCCCTATGTCAGTACTGTTTTTCAATAAGAAACTTCACATTGAAATTTGCCTAAAACATTACTCGTAGCTTCTGAAATAAATAGAATCAAACGCTTCTATTGAATAAAACTTGAAGTTTTAGACTACAAAGCCCAACCTGACATCAGAAATGTCATACTATTCAGAAAAAAATGATTTCTTTTTTGATCTAACTCTTGAAACAGATTAATAGTGAGTGAGTGAGCGCCACCAAGGAAGACCACTGACCTGGCCTTAGCCTCACAGTGTGTTATCTTCCTGGCAGAAACCATCTACTCTCTGCTCCATCCTGCCCGGGAACGCAGCCGAATAGACGGCTAAGAGCCTCATAAAGTCTACATTATAAGCTTGGATGTTTGTACGGGGAAGAGTATCCTGTTAGGAAACTACTTAAAATTAAGCAAAGAAGCAATCAAAGACGTTAAGAATCTCTGTTAGAATAGACAGAAACTGTGTAGATAAGTAAAGATAGGAGGACTCTGCCTGAAAATTAACTGCCGTGGATTTTCTGGACTTGCTAAATGTCTACCTGCAGGTGCTTATCCTGACACAACTGTCATATCTTTATGGGGCTTCTGTGAAATCGTTGGTCCTGCATGAGGAAAGTTGTAACCTATTAAATTATGCACATAGAAACTTTTAAAAAAATAATAAAATAAAAAAAAATAAAGAAAAATAAAGAGACAGATTAATAGTGTCGGTCTTGATATAGATGGATTTGTTCGCATTGTTTCAAGGAAGATATCTTTAGTGACGTTTTAAATTACCTGCATTGAAGGTTGCCCTTTTATCTACGTTTCAGTACTAAAGCATTTCGTAATAATTTCACCAACCGAAAGCGACATAACTGCTGAAAAGGCATGTAAATGAGATTAACTGTTCATTAATGTAACTCTATTCAATCAGCAAGCTTATTATTAATACGCTGTACATATTGTCAGCATTCATTTCCTTAAAATATTTCTTCGCTTTATTAAAATACAATTTGTTTCCTGTGTTTGCAAGTACATTTCCAATGACGCAAATATGCAATAATTTCATAAATATAATGATTAAAGTTATTGAATCATACTTACGAGCAGAATTCCTGCGTAAAATCTTTTAAGGATGCAGGAAGGCGGGGTAAGTTTCCACATTGGTCTTCATTCAGCTCATTCAGACATTTAACACTGTCTAAGAATGCTGAAAAATCAATTAGCAAATCAGAATAATGTACACATACAAAGCATATGAACTCAATTTGTGTATATATTTAAACTCAATTTGTGTATATATTTATTTATTTATTTTATAGGATACCTATATAAGCAAAAGTCACCAGTCACTTTTTGTTTCAAACATTTTTTGGACTTTCTGGAGAAATGCTTGAGAAATTGCTCTGTAACAGCGACCACGGAAATAATATGTTTGTACTTACGCCTTTGAATTTCAGTCAGAAGTGCACTTAAAGGACCCAAAAAATATTTAAGAAAAAGTACTCGTATTTTTGATCGCTGTATATCATAAAACTCAGTAAATAATCTGTAACTTTCAAACAATGTTTTGCATATTATATGTAATTCTCCTAAAAATAACATTTGCATTACCGAAAATATGCAGGTTTTTTTTAAACTTCCAATGTGTTTGCTTACTGTGCTATGTTGTGTAAGCTTTCATTGTATGTCCTTGTTGCTTGAAAGCAGAAATTTCAGCCATATTTAACAAAACTTAGAAAAAAAATGGCAATATTCAAGAGAAACATTAAACTGAAATTGGAAAACAGAATAATGAGTATTTTTTGCAAGTTACGACAATTTAAAGAACGAAATTTGTAACTGCGCATGAGCGAAATGAGTAAAAAAAATGTTTTCCTTTCGTAATTTCGTAATTGAATAGCCAAATTTACTAGGAAACGTATATAAATTTTGTCTGTGAATATCGTGCGAACTCAGTAAGATATCTATGATACTGGCAATCGATGAATTTCTCATTTTCTTAATTTTACATTAATAAATTTTGACATGAAACATGTATTTCCTGCTCAAGCACTCTTTCTTGTCATTTAGATATAATCAGATTTGTAGAACATATTTGTCTAATACTGGACTAATTCATTTACATGAAAGAAATGCTCGTTGAAACATGAAAATTACATTTTCTAGGAAAATATACTATCATCCAACTAGTTTTCAGAAAGTGACGATTATATAGCTTACTAGAGACCTTTATGAATTTACAAGGCATTAACCTGGAATAGCTATATAATCTGTCGTGTATACTCGTGCTTGCCTACTGAAGTATGAAAGAAAAAAGCTGACATATTTCAAATATTACTAGTTAAAATTTATTTCCGGTATTTATGTATTTATCATCGACTATTTCGGCATACAAAAACTGTCGTCAAAAACAGAGTTTCTTAAACTGTGGGTCGCGGGACTTGCAGTAGGGGGGTAAAAATTTTGGCAATTTTGATATTTATTTAGCTTATAATAATTTTACAGATACCAAATATTTTTAAATATTGTATATGGAAATAAAGATAATACAGACAAAGAAAAAAATGAAAACATTTCGAGGCATTTTTTTATAATAGAAACGTTCATTTTACTTTCAAAATTAAAGTTAATGACCTAAAACTGTAACAGTATATTAAAGTGCAAGTGAAGAAACTGATAGCTTCACTCACGCGTGTGTAGGATTTGCGAAATGCTTATGGGGGTCCCATAAAATTTTCGCAGATATTATGGGGTCCACACACCAAAATGTTTAAGATACCCTGGTCAAGCAGTGCAATTTAGCGCCAATAATGGGTAAGTGTGACGTCACATACCTACATTGAGATATTTGCTTTGATTCTGCGTAACATTGATTAATTCTTCATAAGCAAATTTTGTCTTTGGGAAGAGGGATACAAATCAACTGTTCTTTTTCTATTTTCCTTTGCAGTTCCAGAAAATGATTAAAACTTGGAACCTGCATTCTACAGAACAGCAAGACATGGAGTATTTTCGAAATCATGGTATTTTATCATTATACTCAAACATTAAAAAAAAAGCTTTCGTATTTTACAAATTGGTGCAATAAAGCACAACGCGACACAGATTTGATTCGTATTTAAGAGAATCTATATGGTGCGGAATTCGCAAATATGATAATAATTTTGTAGCTATTTTAAAGGCCATTAGAGATTTTTAGCCGATGGAATGATAGGCGAAAGTATTAATGAAATTTGTTTGCAAATAAAACAATCAAGAAGTGTAAACTGTTATTTATTTGTATTAACTTGAAACGGCGAAGTTTATACTATATTTAACACACTTCTTAAATGGATGATTTTTCGAAATTTATCATTCTGCTTTAAAATTATATTTTTATTTGCTGTGATACGTGCGTGTGGGCAACTTTGGTCTCAAAAGAAGTACTGGTGGTTCTTTAACTGTCCACACATTCCATTCTAGGTCAGGGATGAAATGGGGCGAGGGACATTCTCAAATAAGAAAGCATTTACCAACCGTATTGTTAAAATTTCCCCAGACAATCCTGTTTAGTAAAACAGTTTAAAAGCAGTAGTTGCGTGTTATTTTTTATTTCTGCGTTTTGGGGTTTTATGGTAGCCGTGTATTGAATGATAAAAACATCGAAACGAATGTGTCTAGCACTTAGAGAAAAACTGCTGATTCTCGACGAAGTGGACAAAGGTGTAATAAAGAAAGATATTGCAGAAAATCTGGTATTTTCCAAAATAATTTAACGATAACCCTTAAAATTCGTGAAAACATTTCGTCAAGCTTTGATTCCATCGATCCACAAGGGCCAAACGTAAGAAAATGTGCGGTAAAGTCGCTGAAAACTGATAGTTCGAATTTCGGCGAACGGGCTGGCTGCACGGGCGTTTCCCCATGCAGCCATATAACTTGTGTTGTGTAAGGACCTAGTGTAATAACCAGGTGCCAAAATTGATAAAATACAATATTTAATTTCATTCGCGATGGACAACTTCAAGTTCAATCACAGCCGCAATTTTTCACCCTACGTTCGATTAATATAACTCTACTTACATTTTTATAACTTAACGGTCGTGGAAAGGAAACATGATCCTAGATAAACAAATAATCCTAGCTGCAAAAATATTTATTTCTTTTATACAATTCTCTAAGTACTAAATTAACAGATTAAAATCATAATATATACAGAAATAAAGACTTTATCCTAACCTTGGGAAAAACCTCCATAATATATACTGATATTCAAAAATTCTGTTTTACATAATAAAATCTACGAATTATGAGGAGGTGAAGAGTACATATATAAGCTGAGGGTTTGGCTGCATTGAATTAACGTAACCTGTCCTGACACAGTCACATACACCTTTTAATACTGTACATTATTATTCTTAGAGGGGAGCCATCTTCTCCATGAACCTAAACATCAGTTCGTATAATACTCGTTAGACAAGAACACTCAACCGGATCCTTGTACATCATTACTCGGAAGCCCATATTCTAAGTCGCTAGCTAGTACCCATCCAGAACAGTCTCTTTACAAGACATCGTAAGCATGAACATCACACTCGGGTAATCGTACACCATCAGGCGGTACCAGAAGCCGATATTCTAAACCTTTAAATCAGGAATTTGAATGCTCACGCACCGTTTTACCTATACTGATATTCAGATCTGTTACTGTTTATCTCAGCTCACGGGCTCTCCTCTTCCTCTTTCCATGCAAAAAATATGTCAATCTCCGATGTGAAAAAAATGACGACCTATTTACTTCTGTCACTCATTAAGCAACATTGTTGACGACAGAGTTTCGGTTGATTATCGCTTTTAGAGTCATAAATTCTGTATTTCTTTGCGTTACACGTATCGTGATATGAACATCACGTAGATCACCGCATTTTCTTGATAGGGAATTTTTCATTCACTTCCTTCTCCTTCATCAACCCTATATCATTCATGAGTTATACAGCTGATCAACTTCCAGGAAGCCGATGTGTTTTTAGTAGTTTCTCCTTTATCCCGCTCATGTTTTGAGAATCATCGTCATATTATTCATCCCTATTTTCACACCCTTCTACTAGTTATCATGCGAAAATTGCTCCGCCTTTCTTTTTTCTTTTCTCCCTCATGTTCCTATACTCTAATCACACTCAAAACAAAGGCTGAAAGTCTAAAAATCTCAATAAAGCCGCTTTTGTTTTCACAAAATCACCCTATTAACTTAATTAAAATTAAAAGCCATGTTATGATGAATTCAAGCCTCGTTTGAACTTAATTGGCAATCACAGTCCGCTATAACTTTATTCAGACAAATTATAACCGCGTAGGAATTAATAATGCCCTTCTTTGATTCCAGCTAGTTAGCTGGCTTCAAACGAAATACTGTTTAATTATAAAGTTATACTTTCGTTTAGAAACAACATAACTCTCTGGAAAAATCTCAACTCCAAATGATAAAAATTGCTAGAACTAAAAACAAAATGAGAACAGAAGCGTCCTGTAGCATTTTGTGTTGGGTTATTTCATACGATTGGAGAGAATTTATTACGTCTTATATATAAGACAATACGTTTTGCATGTTCAACGAAGAGTACATTAAAGAACCACTTCACTGTTTTGTTATCAAATAGCACTGTTTGCACCGCATTGCCAATCTTTTACTAAGCGAAAACAAATCAAATTAATCGATTTAAGCTTTGCTATGAGTTAGTTTTAAAAAGAGATGAGTCAACGGATATCGCAGGTGGAGAAGATGCATTTAACTGCATCAATAACTATACGTATAAAAACAATTATTATTGGAAAAAATGGTACCGACGTTTTTACAAAATGGTGCATAAGAGACCACGAGTAAGATTTGTCTATCCGTGACTAACGGTTGCAAAAATAAAAGCCGCATAAAGACTATTGAAAACACGGTAAACATTTTGTAGCCAAAAAAATCAAAAGAGTTTTTGATTTTAGATATTTGTTTTTTAGAATTTCAGAGAAATGTTTGTTATAAAAATTGTTAATAGAAAAAATATGCTTAAACTTACTTTTTCCTGTAAAATTCAGATCACGAGTGCAATTAAGAGGACCAACAACAAAATGGCTAAGAATAAAGATAATTTTGATTTCCCTATATCGTACGCCCACCAGCGGCCGAGCGGTAAAGATTCTAAACACTGGTTGTTTGGTCCGAGTTTCGAATGGGTAGCACATGCAAGAACGGGCATCTGCCACCATGCAATTGAACATGCAAGAACGGGCATGTGCCACCATGCAATTGAACATGCAAGAACGGGCTGGCTGCATGGGTGTTTTCGTGGTTTTCGCCATGTGTAACATGTGTACGAGCCAGATTCCTTTAAAACGTCCTCCGCGAAAGCACCCCTCACCTTAGGCAGATAGCCCTCGAGGCTTTGTCATAATTAAATTAAATTAACCAAACCCTCTATCGTACAAACTAAGTATGTATGGTTCAGGTGGGTTTAATGCGCGTTTTGGAAATAGCTGCAAATGCAACAAAATGCCAAACAAAATTTCATAAAAGGCACAAAATGCAACAAAATGTGTTTTTCATAGACCAGAACTGTTTATCAAATATATATATATATACTTTTCTAAGACGTATTTAGGATGTATTTGAAAAAAAAAATGATAACCTATATAAAATATTGACCATTCCAATCCAGATTGTATAAAATTTTATGCAATGAAATGGGTAGATAACACACTGCGCGTTTATTGCTATGTGTAAAGTAAGCGCACAAATTTTAAAATCATTGAAGACCATCTTCTAATTGGAATAAAAACCTCATATTGAAAATACGTCTAAAAATATTCACGGATGCCTCAGAGTAATTATAAAAGTCCTTTATCCCCACCTACTGTGCGTTTATGACATGCTTGAAATTCCTTTTATTTTAGTTTATTGTATTGTAAGGATTTTGTTAATTTTATTAACAGTTAAATTTTGAGTTAAACTTCTCTTTTCTATCACTTCTTCATTTCAACTTACCACTTCCGGCCAGAACGTAGTTTTAGAATCACGTCTGAATGCTAAAGTGGAAGAGCGGTATTTAACCGCGAAGTTCTGTCTTAGAGAGATACCAGATATTCTGGCTGCACGCATGTGCCTTTTTAGGCTAATTTCTGACGGGCTTTTCTTCCCACTCGATGACCGTTCTCCTTTCTCGATCACCGGTTTTCGTTTAAATTTTGATTCCCCGCCTCCTCTTTTCGCTGATTTTTGTTATCCGTTCTTTTTTTATTGGACTTTTCATCTTTTCCCGTTTGCCTATGTGCATTCTACTGAACTTGCGGTTTCTTCTGAAGAGTAAACCTTGAATGTTGGCTAAACTGGTTCGAACGCGCTTTCTCCGAGTTTCTTCTGCTTTGGAATTTCTCCGCGAGCTGGAATAGATTTTTTAATGTATGTGGGTTATGGACTTCGAGAAAATCTTGAGCTGAGGGTAGTAGAACGCTGTAGAATTACCTCGATAAATTCACTATCGGGCCGCTTCCCAGGGGAGTAGCTAGAGGGTGCCAAGGGGGGACATCTGTGCCCGGGCGCAGCATCCAAGTGGCGCCAAATTGACATTACGAATTTTTAGAATTAAATGTTTTCCATCTTTGGCAAGCAGTAGGGGCGCGAAATCTTCAGTTGTCCCTGGGCGCTGAAAACCCTAGCTACGACTCTGCCGCTTCCCGTATAATGAATTAAATGCTTGAATTTTTCCCAGAATAAACTTCGTCAACTCATCGAAATGGCTTTGATATTTGCTAAACAACTCCGACTCTACCTTTGCACGGTCTTTAACAGCCGGAAATGATTTTGAGAATGCAGACTTGAAGTTTTCCCAACTTTACGATTCTGAACCTGAGACCTCAACAAAAATTTTCCAATTCCTTTATACCAGCTGAGAGCCTGACCTCTTAGGTTTTTTGTAGCGGTGGTGACTTTCTGCAGCTGGTTTACTGGTTATAAAGGAAAATGCAAGTCCAGTTGCTCCAAGAAGGTCATAATTGAACCTTTGCCGTCAAATGTTGCGGCTGGCTTCATAGTATCGTTTCCACGATGAATCCAAATCCTTCCATTGAATTCGCGGCCGTCTGAGGGATCTGAAAAGTCCGGCCAGGCCCGGTCGGAGGGGTCAACGTAAACTTCCCGGACTCTAACGACATGGTCCGTTGAAACCTTTTCGGGCGCCAATTGTAGGATTCTCAATCGTGTAATTCTAAGTTACAGTTAAACGTGAAGAATCTTAAGAACTAGTAAGCGAATAATCGCTTGAGCTAGTGAGACAATAAGTAAACTTGGAAAGGGTTAAAAATCCTTTATTATTCAACTAAGATTTAACAGAACTCCGTCTGGAGTTATACAATAAAGCCGACACTCGGGCTTGAACTTAAGATACTAAAAACTAAACCAAAACTAATCTTAACTTAAAAGATATAGCCGAAGCTGTCAAAATCGAAAGAGTGGCCCCTTCGCTAATTGACTGCGAAGCTATCAAGGGCCTAAAGTACGGCCCCCTTAACACTACGAGAGAGTAGCCTCATCTGCGTAAGCTATTGCTGGCGGACGCGTGCTAGACCAGAATCATCTGATTTTCTTTGACTAAGACAGTAGTACTTCGCGGTTAAATACTACTCCTCAATTTGCATTCAGAACGTGATTCTAAAACTACGTTCTGGCCGGAAGTGGTAAGTTGAAATCAAAAAGCGATAGAAAAGGAAGTTTAACTCAAAATTTAACTGTTAATAAAATTAACATAATCTTTCAGTATGCATTTTAAAATATTTTGTGAGTTAATTTTCGGATCATTAACGCTATTATCTTTTATCAATATCGAGTAGTAATAATGGCTTCTTTGCAATACACCCTTTTCAGCTTCCTAGAAGTTTCGCGGGAACGTTCTTTTTCACAGAAAGTGCAAGAGACACACATTAAAAGGAGAAATATGAATTAAAAAAATTACTGCTTCATTATAATAATAAAAGAATCCAACTTACATCTTCTGAATTCACTATTCTTGTCACAAATTTTAAGGTATGTAGAATGCTGATCTTTGAACATCTGGTAGTAAATGTTTTCTGTATAATTTCGACATTGAGCTCCGAAGTCAATCACACATTTCATGTATGGCAATGTAACGCTATATTTTCGGAAGAGACAGATAACATATTAGCGAAAAAAGGGTAATGTAACCTAATCTAGAAACAATAAAGCCATACCGCCAAAACCGAAAATGCAAAATAAACTAATACGAAAGTAAGGAGAAAACATCGCAGTTTCAAAACATCGTGGTAGAAAATAAAACGGTTCAAATTTTCACTATTTTAAAAAATTTCACTATTTTAAAACATCACCATATAAAATATCATGGTAAAAAGTAAAACACTTACAAATCATCTCACGATGATAACGTCGCAGACATGCGTTTTTACATTTTAAGAATTTTTATGTATACTAATTTGTAAGCTCAAGAAGAAGTGAAAAATATTTTTACATTTGTATTTCATATTTTGAAATTAACTAATTTACTGGAAAAGCAAAACAGAAACTTAAGCATTGAAAATCTGAAAATCTGTTGAAATTAAAGCTACACAGGAGCAGTTAATATAATTTTAAACTTATTTTAAATTTATTTTAATTAATTTTAAACAGATATAATTATTAAATGTCACTTAATGAATTCCTTTTACAAAGTGGCACAGTAGAGTTTCATGAAAAATACAATAAAAAATAGATTGGAAAAATGATGCAGATGAGTGATGCATGAGATTGCCTATATTAAAATTGTCTGACTAATTATCAAATTGTCATGCGATGATTTGTAATGCTTTTTACCACTATATTTTATTTTTAAAACTGCGATGTTTTTGAAGTGCTTTGTTTTCTATTGCGATGTTTTCGAACTTCAAGGCTTACCCTGGGCTTTGTTTTCTCACATCATATTTTGAGCAACAATGATTTCCTCTTGAGTTGTTTTCTCTACGATAATTTGACCAAAAATCTTTCAAAACAGTGGACATTTTGCTTATGAAAATATCAAATACTTATCAAATTATGATCCGCAACTTATCCCAAACTTCAAAAGGCCTAGAACAGCGGGTCTTAACCTTTTGGCTAACGCGAACCATCTAAACAAAAATTTAAATACTTTGGTACCACCACTACATTTTACAATATTGATGATTGATGATTATTTTTCAATTTCTCAATTGAAATATTAAACAAAAATATATTTTGGCATTTACACAACTTACTGGCTATTTGTGCTAAATATGCCCACATAAAAATGTTAAATTAAAAATTGGTTACCGTTTTAATTATCAAAATTCAAGTTATAATGCTTTAATTCTAAAATTTATAATGAAATTTAGCCTGTTTAAGAGAGATCAATTTCTTTATGTCTGGTCATATTTCACTTAGCTTTAACCGTAAATTAAGATCCACTTTTAAATTTGTTCTGTACTTTTTTTTCAAATATAAAATGGAAGAAAATCCTCGTTCACACAAATAAGTTGTGCGAAAAGAGAATAAAAATTTAATAGCTTTATTTGAAATGCCTTTAAATTCTTTTTCCTAGTTCAGTCTAAAGTTAACAAGAGTGTTATTTTTGAAATCTTCGGTTAAAGTTCAATCACAGAAAATTCCTGTCAATTATTCTTTTTCTTCACAAGATTTTTGAATTTAACAGTTAAAAATATTGTGTTCCTTTGCGTACCACGGGTTGAGAATCACTGACCTAGGACTATCTCCCATAACTGTAACTGGCGAGCGTGCAATTTTTGTGGCTTTCCCTCTAGGTATTTTTCACTAGTTTGTTTATATTTGTAACTCTGAAGAAATTTAGCCAATGGCGGCACAGAATTTCGCTTCGGCACTTTGTGCATCATCATTTATTCATGTTTTCTATTGCCCCAAAAATGTTATTTAAAATTATTTCAAGGTAATAATCACATGGGCTAGGACTTCTCTGCAAAGTAAGATTCGATTCGATGTTTTAATCCACATAATGTTATTTTGAGTTTAGAAGCAATAATCCGTTAAGTATTATGCTTAGTAAGTATTTACTACCTTCTTATTTTCTCAAAATTGTAAATACTTAGGTGTAGAAATAAATAAAAACTCACTTGCATTGTCTTTCCAAGTTTTCTTCATTTTCCTCAAGCGGTTTATTTTGAAAACGAAGTACATCTCCTTCTCTGATGAGCTCAGCACAGGCCATGGTGCCAAATATCGGACATTTCTCATCCATGTCATCTGCAGCCGACAGCACTGTAAAAAATCCCATGCATAATTATTTTAAATTTATCACTAAATTATCTATTTCTAAAACCCTCCATTTCAGCATTGAAATCTCTATACTAAGAACCAATTAACAATTCTGTTGTCTCTCAAAATATTTTTGTGCCTTATTTTATCCTTCTCTAAAGGTGGCGCTGTAACCGCGCCAGTTCTTTTACTGCTTATGTATTTTCAATTTTATCTTGTGTTTATGGCAAGAGATGTAAAAATACCAAACGACTAGATTTCGATGTTCCATGAAAATATCATCATATGAAAAAATTTTGATACCGCATTAAGTCTGAATCTTATTTACTTTTGTTCCTTTGCCAATGTTTCCTTTGCCTTATTTATCGTGTCAAAAGTGTTTGCAGGTAACTAACTATAAGTCTATGATATTTAAAGATACGCTATTTAAGAATTATTAATTAGACAAATAGAAATATATTTTTTATTAATTTAGAAGTCAAACAACAAAAATTTGGAAATATAACAAATTTTCAAATATTTTAAAATTTTGAAAATATAACACTGATTTTTGTTGTTTGACTTCTAAATTAATATTTGTTCGGTGGGTTACTGTATCTTAATATTTTTTTGTTAGAAATAAAAAAAACTATTAAGGAAGCTTTAGTTGCATTGAAATTGTTTTCATTTAAAATTCCTTCTGAAGTTCTGTTTTCTATTATATACTTTTAAACATATATTTGAAGTTTGCATGACATCTCTATGTAACTAATTTTCTTCTTTAGAGCTAAATAAAGATATTAAAAAGGAAATCATCAATGCCGTTAATGTATCGAGCTCAAATCAAGCTAACTGAAAGAAATACTGCAACTGTTGACGATGTTTTGACATCAGAAAATTTAGAGAAAATTCTTACATTAAAAAAGTCTGCAGAGATGTCGTGACAAGATTGAATAATATTATTATGGCTGTTTTATTGTTGAAGGTTTTTATGAAGAATCTGACTTCAAAAATTTATCTGAGACGCAGGATTTCACAGATGAAACATTAGTGAAAATAAAAATATATCTAAATTTAATTATTAAAGAATCACATTGACGATAAGAAGTTAGCGTATGGAAGAAACACAGGCCAATGACGATAAGAATTTAAAATCTGCCAAATCCTATGTAAATATAAAGCTTCTAAAGTATGATCTTCCAAGATTTCTGGTTAGTTAGAATTCTGGTTGAGTTTTAAATCCACATTTTTAAGTTCATTTGATTCGAATGAATTTTTGATTGGCATTCAAAAATTGCAATACCTTCAAAGTCCAGTTTCGTTTGATGCTGCAAGACGTTTTAAGGAATTTGCAGTAATTTCTGAAAATTATAAAAATGTGTGAGAAGTTTTAGTCAACAGATATGATAATCAGAGGGAGTTAGAGTTTTATGAGTGTAGAGAATTATTTAATTTAAAATTTATGACAAAATTCTATCTTAGTTGGAGTTAACAACATCTAAGCGTAGTAAGATTTCCAAGCGATAAAGGAAGCCGTTATCCTACAGACATGTCTTACAGACGGTGTTCACACATTTTTTGTAATGATTTTGCAAAGATTTATATATAAACAAGCCTTAGAATTTTATTTTTTAGTATGCTTGTAGGGATTTATATTTATTTTAACTAATAATTTAAATTTTAGTTCAGACTTTCCTATAAGCTTTCATTCTCCTAATTGTAAGTGCCAGAATAGTTAAATTTGGTAGCGCGTGTGACGGAGAATGCAAATTCTACCTTTGAAGGAGGAAAAGTTTATAATACCGAGGTTTTAGAAGGGAAGTTAGAGAGAGTTAGGCCGTCTCTGCCATAGGTACAATCGCTGATTGCTGGTTCAAGTGGCTTAAATGCATTTATCTGCTGCCACTAGTTATAGAGGAGGTCGAAGTTCGGTATCTTGCTGAGCCCTGTAGGTTAGTTTAGCACTTGTTAAACATTTCAATTTTTGATTTTCAATTATCTGCTTTTCAGTTACCGGCGAAGTTTGTTAGCGTCAAGTTGACGCAGTGTAAATTTTAAAGAGTTAATAAAGGGTTTGAACCCTTCTTCTGTGTAGTTTCCTGCTACTCCAGTATACAGATAAAAGTTAACCCATCTGGGCACAGCATGCTCAATCTTGATAGTCCTTTTGTTGAACTATCATATTATATCTTGACTTTCAAGATAAAAGTCCTTTTCTTAAAACATCAAGGTTGATTTTATTTTAATCCTCCTTCACAATCTTCCAGAGTCCTTCCAATGTTTTGAAATGCCGCTTATAAAGCGCTTGTTTTAAACGTCGAAATGCACAGTAATTCATAGGAGACTTGGGTGGGATGCATTTAAAGGAACTAGCTTCAATTCCGCTTTCATTTCGCATCTTTTTCAAAACATAGAGTAGTAAATTTAGAGATATGGCTTGGAGACTTGTCCTGATTGGAACTTAACATAGTGAAAATTGTTTGGTTCAATAGATGGAATTTCTTCTCTAAAAATAGGTGTTAAAACATATTTCTGATAGAAATCCAAATTAATTAAAAAATGTTGTTATAGTTTCTTACTTAGTTTTCCGTAATAAGAGAATCCAGTAATAGCCATAAACCATTAGAAAACCTTGGAAAACCCACCTTTGTTTTCTCTCAACAAACATATTAAGTCTTTTTCTCCTCTTTGTCGGTAGTAAATCGATTTTTTTATTGCGATCAGATAAGTATATCCAAGCCTCATCAATTTTAACTAGATATTTCCATTTTTCACCCGCCAAATAATTTTCATACAACAATCTGCACATAGCTTTACGCTGAGAAACATGTTTCGGTGTTAGGCGATGAACATCATGCTTTTGTTTTGTTTTGTTTTGATTAGCTTTAAATCAGATTTCATGATTTTGTTCACAGTTCCTAAAGAGATATTTAAAGATTTCGCTATATCTCTTTCGAGGGCTGTATTTTCCTTTAAAACATGAGATGCAACTTTAGATTTAATAAAAGCTGTACGTACCTTTGTTGAGTATGCATTTTTTGCCTTTTTCCCAATCGGATGTAAACTTTGAAGTTTCTTCCTTTTCATATTAATTATGTCACTTATTTTACGTATAGAAATATTACAACTATGCTTTTTACATCTTTTTTAATAATTGAATAAGAGTATTTTTCTTCGGACAGCGCAAAAATATAGCCTTCGCTCCATTGTTTATTTTTCAGCGACATTTTAAAGAAAATAATATTCTTAAAGTTACAAACGATAATTAAACCTTATTTCAATTGGATGCCAGTCATGTTTGTATTTTAAAATTAATATTTAAATTCATGGAGAAAATCTAATTCGTTAGAAGAATGTGTGAAGACCCTCTGTAAACGATTCAGCATATATATTCTTTTTTTCTTACAGCGCCTTTCCCTGTACCAAAAAATAAACAAAATTCTTTGGCGTTAACCAAATAAAATCACGAGAGCAAGAGAGCAATGGAATAAAATTACCTGGAGCTGAATATAAACTACCATTTCTCTTTCGCTTTAAATATACAAAGCTACTAAATAACCTTAACTTTAAACAAAGATGTAATTTTGCCCCTTATTCATTTCCTAACTATATCACATTTGCATCTATTATTTCATTTTTATTTCCATGTTTGTTTAATATTTAGAAAATATTTTTAATATTAACACCTAATAGTATCATAATACTGTAACTAATAATTATATTTAATAAGTAGGAAGTATTATTATCAGTAATGATTACTTATTTCCCGGGTCCTACCGGCGGAAAAGGAAAAGGCTTTTCCACATCCGCCTGAAAAGCGGAAAATGTCTCCCCTCTTTTATGCGTCTGGAGATCTTTATTTTTCTTATCAAGTATTCTGAGGAGCTCATTAATACTAAAGTTTAAATAAACACATTTCCAGCTAAGATGAGATAATCTATATTTACTGTTCAATACGTCTAGCATACTTGTTGATAATTTATATCGCTACTTTTGGTAATACATTGAAATCTTATATTTTATAATATATTTAACTGCGTAGAATTTATAATATATCCAAATGAAAATTTTATGTATATTTGCAACATTATTGTACGTAATGGATGACGTTTGCAACTCTATAAATTTCTCATTTTGTTACACACCAGTCTTTGATTTTGTGAGCAAGATATGCAACGGAACAAAATATCTAAAATGCGTCAACATATACATCTAAATACTTTAAATAATGTAAAGAAACAGTAAAGTAAAAATGTTTTGAAAGTGAAAGAGGACATTCAGGCAATTTCATGCATCGAAAAGACATGTGTTCTTACCTCCCCGAAATATATTTAATTTGTGCGCCTGCAATGTTTATTGTAAATAAGGATATAACGAATAGCACAAAGTAAACAAGAATAAATGTATGCTATGAAAAACATATCTCATATGGAGGTTAGACGCCATTTCGTGCAGAAGGTTTTTTTTTTTTAATTTAAACAAAGTAATAAAGCGTTATCGGTCTTTAAGAGCTATGCCTTCGTGGATAACTTCTTAAGGAAAGCCGGCTTGCATGTATACTATGCATAATAAAAACTTCGAAAAATCTTTGGGAGACAGTGCGCCCAGCTATCGATAAATGAAGACTAGAATAACTTTAATGATAAGAAGTTCCATCCTTTCGGTCACTGGAAGTAGTATAGTTGTTTCAAGAGAGAAGCAGAACGAAAACTGAAACTAATGGATTAATATCTGTGTCACAACTGGAAAATTACAACAGAAATCAGACTTCGTTATTGATAAGATTATATCCTCGTACACTTATCTTTTAAAATAAAACGTTTTGTTTAACATCATTGAAGAAGACTAGAGTAGAAGAATAAAATTTTCAGAAGTCAATACGCAGTGTGTAGCACAAGTTACCATTAATTGAAATTGCGAGTAATACTATTTAAAAAAAATTAATTAGCATTAGAACAGTTTGAAAAGAACATGATTAATATATGATTAATATAAATGATTTACCGACGGCGGTCACAAGCGCTAAAGTAACATCATATAGCATCTTGAAAGAAAACAACAGCTACCAGTTCAAAGAAATCCCGAGTAAGAAGCACAAAGAACAAACTTAACACATTATATATTACGAGTGTTATCAAAAGAGAAATGCAAATAAAAATAAGAAAAACAATTCTTACAAATTCATAGCAGATGTGAATTGCTTCATGGGTAATTTAAATAATTTCCGTCTGGAGTTAAGATAATATTACTTTTAACTTGCAGATAATGTAAATCTTAGATCACACTTGAATAAGTAATGTCTGAAATTTATAAAAATAAGTAATTCATTTTTCCTTTTTTGTTAGGAGAGAGGATTAGTACAGAAAGTCATTTCCAGGAACAATAAAATGAATATGCTAATAAATAATTTTTTAATTTAATTTAGAAATTAATTGACTTTTTGTCGTAATTATTATAAAGGTAAATAAATATACTGCACAAGAACAAAATTGTTGAAAAACTGGCTGAATGATTTCCTCTGAATTTCTTCATTTTCAAATGTTTTACTGAATGAATTTATGAGAAATTCATTCAGTAAAACACTTTTATGAGAGTATGTCTTATAATTTTTCTTCTAATTTTATGTTTCCATAACAAATGTTGGAAAATAAATTCATTTTTTTATTTCTGATGATATCACAACAAAATGCAGGTTTCTATAATTAATGATTATGATAGTTATAATTCAATGAATTCATATTTAAATTAGTGAAAGAATTTATTAAACTCTGAAAGTCGTGGTTACAGTAGGTACTTGATTTAATTCCCATTGCTTGATTTATTCTGGAATATGTTTGCGTATTTATATTATGCCAACATATCTTGACCAACCAACGTCGATCATGGAAGATTAGTAAGCAAACAATTCACTCAAATGATTTCAGGATAATTAAGAATAACACGAGTTAATGATAACATGAATATAGCTACATAAGACGTATCAATATTAATATACCCATATAAGAAACTTTCGAGTGTAAACAATAGCTTAAAGCAGCGGTTCTCAACCGTTTGACTAACGAGTACTATCTAAACAAAAATTGAAAACCTTTAGTACTTCCACTACAAAGTACTACTACCACCACTACTCTTGAACAAAGCTCAGATCTCATAAATTTACAAATGCTAGAGAAAAAATTCAATTAGAATGTTGGGGTTTTAATTTTTGAATTTAATAGTTAAAAATACTTTGCTTCTTTGCGTACCATTTATTTTTCTCTTGTGTGCCACTAGTGGCATGGGTTGAGAACCCCTGACGTAAAGCAATACGGGAATTTTTATGTGAAGCGAAAGTGCACAAGGCTTTGGAACGCACAATGAAAAGTAACAGAAATGTTCTTGTAACTATAGGGAACAAGGAAGATTTCTGCAGAGCATCTGTTCTAGATCTTAGATGAAGGTATAAGACGTTAGATTTGGTATAAAAGCTTTGGTATAACTTTCTCAGAAGCAGCATTGTGAACTCACGAAATTATGCTACATGAAAGAACGCAATATTACAATGCTTCACGCAAATTTCATCAAATCCGTGCGTTTAAAGGAAACTAAACAAGAACTAATTTTATTATTCCAAAACCAATCGTTAGGATTTATATAGTAGAAGCCATACAACGATGCCAACGATTAACTGTATGGGATTGCAGAAACAGCCTAATTCTTCTCGGATACTCAGTTTTTCGAAAACCATAAATCAACAGTTTTACACAACTAACAGTATCACAGCCGCAAGCATTGAACTAATACTGTCCATGCACTCAAATGCAATGCTTTGCACAATACCATTTGCAAATGATATGTTACCTTTCGTGGCGATGAACATTAAACTGTTGCTTAAGATCATTTCGGCAGTCTTCTTTCATCTCCAACTATTCCCCCCCCGGGGGTCGACGTAGAGAACTCTGCGAAGCTACTGGCTAGGATCTGTACCTAGGCAGTCTCGGCCACGGGGGTATAAAATTTATGAACTTGGTGGTTCTGAAGGCTCTGGGAAAGGTCACTTATGGCCGGCCTCGAGTCTGGACGTCCTAGCGCGGCGTGGTTCTAGTAACCCGGGGTCTCCCCCGGGTCGCTGGGTAATGTCCCGCTGCGACGGGCTCGCCAAGCGACTGGTAGGAGCATAGACGACCGTGCTGCTGGTGTCTTATCCAGTGGTGCGCCGCCTCTTGGAGGTACTAGTGGAGGTTGAATCACGATGCCCAAAGGGCGAGTGGACCTGCAGTGAGATTGAGTTCTCGGAGCAGGGAAGCCCAAACTTATCTTATCTCCCACTATTTTCTGTTACCACGACTATCATGCTCTTCCAGGATCTGCCGGAATAATTCCTATACATCTAGTAGCTTGGTAAAAGAAAATAGTGTTTCGAGAAAAGGGCGAGCTCCAGAGCTTATAATATTAGTCTTGCGCTGCTGTCTCCGTCGTTCAGAGTACGCAGTACTTCCACGGTAACAACAATAAACAGTGTGAAACATTTATAAAGCCTATGGTTAAATAGCTTTTCTTCACTTTTACTTGACTGTTCATTTTCTGCTTGATTTCTGTTATTTGCCTTAGATCGCTACTGTTTAGTATACATATATCCATATCTCTTGTTTTTCTCTGTGTGCACCCTGTTTTAACGCTTTACGCTATTTTCTGTCTCACAGAATCTCGTAACATTCTGAAATCTCGATGCTTTTGTAAGAAATTTCGAGATATGATTACGTCTGCTATAAGAATGTCCAAATTCAATCCCTATTTTCATATATTGTAAGGGCATATCAAACTAATTTAGCCTGCGAAAAATTATTCAAACGATATTTCTCCCCTCCTTTTTTTTGTGCTCTCGAATTTTCTTTTAGCTTACCGAGTCAGCTGACCACCATTTATTTTGTATGAATTGTCGTTAATCTATAGTTCCAACTTAAGAAATGAAATCGGTAAATTTCTTTATTATGATAATTTCGATAATGTAGATACACTAAATTTAAATCTTTTCAGAGAAAACAAGGTTTGCTCTTTTTAGTATTTTATTCGACCTAAACAATCCATTCCGTGTAATTGGTCCAGAAGAAATATGTCGAAATTATATGACATAGGTCATTTTCATTTGATAAAACGAAATGAAAAAACTCAACTTCATAGGCCGCACAGAAACTGAATTTAATTAAATACAATTTTATCAGTTATATTGTAGAGGCATTAGGTTATTTTGAAGCAGGAAATATAAAGATGAGCAATGCCGTCGCCAGGACTCGAACCTGAACCTCTCGAATACGCGCCGAATATGCTACCGTTACACCGCGAATATGCAGAAAGAAGAGATAAAATACTTTATATACTTCCCCTTTTTAAAGGGCGGCTGTGATTAAGGAACCCAATCAAATTGTGGTGGTGAAGAATTATCACCCACCGTCTTTTAGTTCGGATGCCACTGTAGAGTCATTAAGTTATGTTGAAGCAGGAAACATGAAAAATGAGCAATGCCCTCGCCAGGATTCAAAACTGGACCTTTCGAATACGCGCCGAGTGTTGAACCGTTACACCACGAAGGCGTGCAGCAAAGAGGGAGAAAATGTCTTGTAATATTTTTATGAAATGTATACTTCCTATTATTATTTATATTTAAATTTATGTGAAAAGGGAATTTGTAATACTTATATCTCCAGCTTTCTTGGATGTAAATGCTTTCTTTAGAAATCTACATAGTTTGCTTCATTTCGTAAACTTGAACTATGAATTTAAACACATAGCTCCTATTTTTCAAGGACTTCATATATGGAACCTATTTTGAACACTCTTTTTTTAGAACTACGTACATTCAAGAGATAGATATTTGCTTTATTTTTAATCACCAGCCACATATATTGCAGATGATTATTTTAATTATGATAGCTTTATCATATATTCAGTATCCAGCACTAAAATTAACTGCAAGAGATCGTACTGCTGTCCTTGTTTGCAACTGATAAAATGAATCAGCTTCAATGTAAGATCCTAGATCCTAAGCAGAAAGCGTGTAACTTTCTTATAATTCAATTAATAACGTACTGTGTAGTCTTCTGTGTAATCGAAACGCATGAATGCGCGTGAAAATTTGTTCACGTGATGATAAGCTTCAAAACTTGCTCGCTCTTTTGAACTTTAGAAATTATAGTCAGTTTTATCTAAATTTAAGCTATGATTAAAAAGCAAATTTTCGGGCATAGAAAATTTTAAGATAATTTAAGATTGCTTGAATGAGAAGCATACTGAATGATGTTTTTCATATCTCATGGTGCAATATATAAAGCGAATGACAAAATGTGATTATGTCTGGAATTATCGTTATCCCTTCTTAGAATAGAGATTATGCTGTGGTTGAGTGACTATGATAAGAATGGTTGCACTTCTGTTGCTCTGCGTTATTTTCTGTACGAAGGACGACGGGCTGTTTTTATTATTCTTTCCAAGTAGAACAGATTTAATATCGTCTTTGCCTCAGAGGAATATGTTTAGAATTTGCACTTTGTTTAGTTTCTGATTAGACTTCAAAAAGATATTTTAACTAGAAAAAACTATTGTTCAAAATTGATTTTTATTAGTGAAAGTTATTACGTTTATTGTTTATTTAAAGTGATTTTGTCTTTAAACGACACTTTTTTTTATTTATGTTTAGCATAGTCAAAAATTTTAATGAACTTGCACTGAACATATATGCTAAAGAGGAAATCAAATGAATATTGAATATTCATATAACATTTTCTGTACTTGAAGTAATAGAACCCACAATTTACTTAATTTCTTTTAGAAATTTCAATGTTAACGTTTTTACTCGTACTATAAGGTATTTCTCTCGCCTTCTTAGAAGGCCTTCGCAGTGTAGTGATCAGCACGTTGGGAGCGTATTCAAGAGGTCCGTGGTTCGATTCCCGGTGTAGGTGTTGCTCATTTTTCATCTTTCCTGTTTTAATAAAAAATCCTAATGTCCATACAGTACGTTTTCAATGCTTCAAAACTCTGGACAGAAAACATTAAAATAAAATATTAACGAAATTCTGAAAGAACCACTTTAACAAGCATCGAGTTAAAGTGTAATTATTTACAATTATATTG